ATACAGTATGGTGTTGTAAATTTATACACAGTAACTTACAGGCAACAGTGTTGAAAACCCTATTTACCCTTTCAAAATGGTTTCAGCAGTGGCGGACTTGTGATGTTCATGAGGCAGGGGGTGAAAAAATAGAAAATGCACCAGGATATAACAGAAATATAACTTGATATTGGATATAGTCTACAATCAGGTAACAAAGACAGCATCAATTGGAATCCACATTCACAGCCACAGAGCTGCTGTAGTGCCCCCCACCTCCCTGGATGCCTCAGCTGGCATGGGTCTTTTTGGTCCAGTACACACACCAACATCTGATGAGTCAAACTCCCAATATCAAACTAATCACTTCACTGCACTAATTGCAAATGCAAATATGCAAATTCATATTAATTAATTACTTCATTAGAAAAGAAGAATCATGCAGTAGTAAGAAGACAAAGAGGAGGCACCATCCTGTTTTGACCTAAAGACTTTTACACACACGTTTACACGCATGCATAAATACTATATACAAAAATATAAACAAAATAGCCCCTGTGCTCACATTGTGGGTGAAAAAAAGTCCTCTGACCCACTGACGACATGTTAAAGGAAAAGGCAGTGTGATTGAAAGCCTTGACGGAGGAGAGAACAACTCTCAGCCTGCTTTTAGCTGTCCCTCACAGACTGTCTTCATTCTTCATCACATTCCCTGCTCTTAAAGACAAAGTGATGGGGGGCCATTCTGCAAATGAAGCTAGTGGTGGAACCTGTTCCAATTTCAATCCCTACTAAAAAGAAATAAAATCAGTTAGGAATGACAAAAGAAACATTTCATTTATATAGACACACAGGTAATATTTTGATGTTAATGTTTTGTCATGCATAGGGTTGCCACTATTTATATATTTCTAAACATTTCAAGGACAAATATTTTTAAAAATTAAGGGCCAATAGTTCACATATTTGTTCACATATGCCATTCTAACCCAGCACACTACTAGAAAGAATTGAATGGTTTACCTTCAATGGAATTTAAGGCTAGGCACCACCTGGGAATTGGGGGGGAAATAATTTTCTTCCATTGGGATGAAACTACGGCAGATTAAGACTTTTTTGTTTTATGACTTTTTATTTTTGTATCATTCAATACATGTCAATTTGCATATCAGCAGAAACCATTTTTAGGCCCAACTATTGAAGCCAGAACTTTTTATTTTACCTTATTGTCCTCGCTAACTAAAAAGCTGATAATGGTCTGATGATTTTGTCAAAATATTGTATATAACTTTTTTGACACAGCACAGTGATCAGATTAAATCATTTGTATATCAATTATAATAATTAGAATTATAGTACATATAGTACATAGTACAATAGCTCATCGTGTGTCCTCAAAGATCCCTTCCAGACATGTATAAGACATTTATATAAATAACCTGCTTGAAACAGTTTGTCTCATATGCTTCCTCCACATTAAAACCCTTAAAAAGATATCTACTTTTTCTACCTCATTAAAAATTCCAGAATCTATGAATATTAAAAGTTTTCCTGTTGGACACAAGATGTACTGTATCCTATACTTCACTTTAAAGTCCATTCTCAGTGTACTGGTGGCTTCAGGTTTCT